TTCTGGCCGAGACCATTTCTTCACTTTTTTTAGGCATTGTGCATGCCAGCTGTGTCAGCTAGTGAGCAAAGACCCTACCCTCCATACACGTGTATAGAGGGATTTGAGCCTTGTTTAGCTTCCCTTGAAAGCTTTGTAAAGTGGTTTCTCTATAAAAGAAGGGCCTCCCCTCCCTTTCCAGAGGTTGAACAACCTGTGATATATGATATATATCACTCTCTCTCTATATTTGTGTGTGTAATAGTGTTCAAAAGTGTGTTTTTGTTGTTATTTTTGCACTAAGGCACCTAGTGTTACACTATGCTTTGGTCAATGAGGTGTTTAGGGGTTGATTTCAGAGTTTTTGAGTTGGTTTTGATTAGAAGGAGGTGCTGGAGTTGGTGTTCTTGAAGTGTTCTTCAAGGGTGAGAACTACCTCTTTTATTCCCCATTTTCCCTTAAGCTTTTAGCCTATCTTGCATGTTGTTTTAAGCTTAGTGTATAACTGATAAAAGTTCTGTATTTTCATGCTTAAGATGTTTCATTAAGGCCACTTTTGTGTTGGGGGTCGTCCACCCCCTCTTAGGCCTTGTTTGGCCTCTTTTTGTGCCTTCCTCTTTGGGCTTTGTAACCCTTTTGTTTTGACCATCTCACCACTGAAATCCAGAGGATTTTCAGTGGTAGAGAAGTGGTTTTGAGGTCTTGTATAGGGGAGGGACACCCCTCTCCCCTTGTGACTCATTTGTTTGCATTTAGGGCTCATAAAGGTAGCATGTTTGCATAGCTTTATTTGGCTCCATTCCAGAGGATATTTGGTGTTAGTTTATCATGTTAGACCTCTATTTCATATTGGTTCAATGGCCTATTGTATGCATCATGCACTTGCTTTGTAATCCCCTCTATTGTCATAACATGTACCATGCATTTAGACCATCATGCATGCATGTTTTAGCTTGACTTCGTGAAGCTTTTAGTCATGTTGTGACATGTTTAAGCTCTGTTTGGTGTTTATTCAATCATGTTTGCCATGTTTTTTATAGTCACAATGTATCCTAGCTTGTTAGCTTTGAGTGTATGAGTCATGAGCATGTCTTATTTGGGTTATTTTAGTGATTTGGAATTACTTATCATGCCATTTCAGTCCATGCTCCATGCTTGTATTCTTGCATTTACCATCCTTTCAATGCTTGGAAGGGTTGTTCTTTTGTGCCTTAAAATAGATCATTGTGCATGCCTCTTTGTTTGAGTCCTTGGGCTGCCATATCAGTGGGTTTTTGGGGCTCCTTTTGGCATATTATAGCTCTGTTTTTCACTGCATAACCCATCCTATGTTTTGGTTGAGATAGTTGTAGTGGAATGCTCTCTTTGTGGGATTGAATCCCCTTTCTTTTGCGCCCATTCCTTAGCATGTTTTTGGCCTTGTTCCATGTATGTTTTAGCCTTATTTTGGTCTTCCCTAGGACTGTTTTGAGTCATCTTGGCTGTTTGGGGATTGGTTGATATGGCCATGGTTTGAACCCCTTTGTTAGTCTTGAGTTTTGGGCTTTGTTGCATGCCTTACTTGCATGGCTCGGTTGATTTGGCACCATCCTTTACACAATTTCAGAGCTTCTCATGCTTGTGATTTGCCCATATTTGTCTCTTCTTAATGTGCTCAAGAGTCGTATCTTTTTATGCCTAAGTGTTGGACCTTTACATGTGCATGTTTGGGTGTGTTTTGTCCATTATTTCTTGGCACTTTGTCCACTGTTTTGGTATGGTTGAGGCCTATCCATCCTTAGTGTAAGTCCATAGATCATGCAGTCGTGTATTGTTGTAGGCTTACCGCATTGCATGTTATCGCATCCTTGTGGTTAGTGTCATTGTTGCATGCCTGTCACTCGATATACTTACATACCTAGGTTGCATTGTAGTATTACATACTTATTGCATTACCATGTTGCTTGCATTTTAAGTTGCATTGTTCATGTTGCATTGCATTAATTGCATGTTTCGCGTTGCATTTGGCATACATACATTGCATTGTTTTTTTGGTTTGGGGTGTCAAACCAAACATGAGGATCAAGGGACGTTTCGTACTTAAAGTGACAAAACGTGCCTCAATTCTCGCTCACCGACACTCTTGACCTAACATGATAGAGTGTGTAGCATTCCTTTGTTTGTTGCATTTATTCCATATTGATATGCACCTTTGATGCCTTTGGCCATCACGCATCAAAATGCGTGATTGGTGGCCCGAGGGTCGAGAGCCATACTCCCTTGAGTTCATAGCATGATAGGGAGGGTGGTCGTGCATACATTTGGCTTGCAAATTCCATGCCATGCACTATCTGTCCTCTGTTGCAGCAAAACCAGTGTTCTGCTGGAAGAAATGGCCGGTCGGCAACTTTCAGTGCCGGCCGACTACCACTACAAGAAATTGCACTTTTGGCAACTACTTTTGGCGACGACATCAATTTTTCATCGCCAAAAGTATATTTTTGGCGACACAGTGATCAATTTCGTTGGTAAAAGTATACCTTTACCGACGCAATTTGCTACCGTCGCTAAAAAAGCATAACATTCTTTTAGCGCCAAAATTTTTTGTTGGCGCCAAAATTTCAGAACTTTTAGCTACGAGGCATATGTTTTAGCAACACAATGAGCGTTGCTATTAGTGTGCATACTTTTGGCGACGACAAGTGGCGTGGGCAAAGAGTTAACCATATAGCGACGATAACACTATTCGTCGGTAAAAGTTTTGCTAGTGGAATGATGTGTACAGTGATTTGTATTTTTATTACAATTTTTTTAAAGAGTTTTAAATATTCTAGTTACTGAATTGTAAAATTAAAATGATCATTGAATTAAATCACAAAATGAACCCATTAAGCCTAAACACACTCTTAAGTTGAGATGACTAATTTGAGATAATTTAGACTTTTTCAAAAAATATGGTTAGATTATCAATTTCAATATGTTTGGTTTTATTTTCATAAACTAGTTTCAATTTTTTTTCCCCTAAAAAACTAAAAAAAATAGGGTGAAATAAAAAATACTTATTATTTTTATATATTTTTATCTTTTACGTCATAAATACTTTTTAAAATTTTAAAAACATAATTTTGATTTTTATTGCTCTCAAATTATTTTTAATTTTTTCAAAAAAACAAATCTAAAAATTGTTTTGAAATTGAAATTATTATTATTATTATTATTATTAATTCCTTCTTAAAATTCCCTTCTTTTTTTTTTTCCCTCATCAAATCTCCCCTCATCCATTTCCACGATTTCACTCTTCACTACTACAAAAATAGTTAAAGATTACACTTTGACAATTGAAAATATCTCACTTTTAGTGAAAGTATGATAAAAAAAAATTAGATCAATATTTTAATTATACTTAATTTGAGTGAGTATGATAATATTTATTTTTAATCTCATTTTTTAAATAAGTGTGATTATATATAGTTTTTTAATCACATTTTCTAAATACATGCGATTGTATGTTTTTTTTTTAATTTTAATTTTATATAAAACAATTTCCTCTTTTTTGATTCATAAAAATTCAAACTGCCCTTTACCTTTTTTTAACTGCCCTTTACCTTTTTTTGCAGCATGCTTCCCATCATTGGTAGCAGCCCTAGATTTGTTTGAGAAAGTTCAAAATCAAAAAAATGACGAGCAACAACAAGAAAGAAGAACCCAACACGGCTCCTCAGCCCGATCGTTGGTTTAACCTAACCCTAGGTTCCTCTTTCAAGGACCACTATCCCTCCTCCAAGTTCTGCACTTTACGTTGTAAGTTTCTCTCTCTCTCTCTCTCTCTATATATATATATATATGTATATGTCTGGATTGCATTCATTCATTGCCTAGAAAGCTCGAAGAAAGAAAATAACGGACCTGGTATTTTTGATTCCCGAAGAACCTACTTGTTGCGATGAGCTCAATTGAACAGACCTTACCCTCAATTTTTGTAATTTTTGTAATTTTTTTTTTGTAAATTTTCGAAACCGCAAAAGGGGTTTGTAATTTTAGACGAATTACAATATTTTTCTAATTTTCTCTTCTTGGTTGCTGAGAAAAATCTGGGGAACTGAAACGATTTTCCCCCCTCTTATTTTTCCGAAGTATTTTGATGTTGTTTAAGTCTCCAGCACATGAAATTCTGACCTCAACTAGACCTACTTGTGAGCTTACTGTTGTAGATAAGAAACTTAAGAATGAAATTTTGTATTTTTTAAAACAAATCTTGGAGCTTGTAATTTTGGTAGAATTGCAATATTTTTCTAATTTTCTCTTATTGGAAATGAAAAAATAATTCTTCCAATTTTTCTGGATCCAAATCATTAATGGAAAATGCGAGGTTTGAGTTTTCCCAACAATTGAATGGCAATATATGGCTACATTTTCAGAAGGATGATGTGGTTTTTTTTAAAAAAAATATCTTTCAGATGAATTTAAACCAGCATCAATTGATAAGAACCAGGCAGGATTATTGCACAAGAACACGGAAAACAGGGTTACTGTAGAATTTCACAACAACCAACCTGGAAAACCATAAGTGACGTTCGAGGGCAGTAGCGAAGATTACAAGGAAAATGATGCAGTTTTGTTCTTTGATGGTGAGAGCTTTCGGTTAGAACGGTTGCACCGAGCAGTAAAGCGGTTGAGACATGTGCGGCTACCTGGTGAGTCTGCTGCTGCGGCTGTAGGTACTTCACTCGGACCAGCCGCGGGGGCTACTTCACCACCCACCAGTAAAATGGCTAAGGTCCAGACTTTGAATGAGAGCATACCTCATTCAATGCCTGTGAGTTTTCATTATGGAGAATTTGTTTTCACCTTTTTTCTATAATTTCGTAACCATGACGAAGCAACCCACACACACAACACAATACAATTCATTTTTTTTTTTTAGATTCCCAAACCTATCTCTCACTCACTCCTGTCTCCAAACCCTAGCCCTACATCCTTTGATCGGCGGCGACTACGAGCAGCAGCGGCCTGCAGCGGCGGTGAGCGACTGAGGTCTCCAAGATACAAAACACAATATATTCAAATAAATTGTGCCTTTTATGTTTCTATACGTAATCTGAAGAATATGAGCAATTCGATAGGCCATAACTTGATTCACCATAATTTGCTTGCTCTTGTGGTGCTAGAGCATCAAAGTAAGATTAATTCCTCTTGCATTTCTAGTTACAATTTGTTTCAAGTTCAGGCAAATTCACAGATTCGAAAGCCGCATATCACTTCCAAATTCTGGGGAAAATGTCTGAATTTATGGAAAACGAAGTTGCCGATGGGAACAAATCGAGTGCTTTCTGTTTTTCCTCAGTCTGTGTTAGCCACCGATCCAACTTCTAAGGTACACTATCAATTTCTAACCTTTTTTTTCCCCATTTGCACCGTTTAAGTAATTGTGTTCAATTGAATGAATTTATTAGTCCAATTGATTATCTCATTAGTATTTTTAACTCAAGTTTATAATTTTTCCCACATGCCACTTATTTGTTTATTTTTCATATAAAAAAATTAAAAAAAAAAACTTAATTGAACCAAATTGAGACAGAGTGATAAATTCATGGTTGAAATCGAGTCAATTGAAATTATAGGGAGTAAAATGACACAAGAAGTAACAGAATACATAGACTACCATTTTAATTTGCCCATTGAATAACTTTTGGAATCAGCTTTTGGGTTTTTTCCATTTTGGTTGAAAATTTTTCAATGTGAAGAGCAATGACAGATATTACAAACGATGATTTGAGTTACTGGTTTGGATGTCAGTTGATTTTGACTATTTCTTTCATTGTAGCAACTTACAGAAAGTTCAACCTTGATGGAAATACGAAATTACAGGTATTAACACCATAGGCTTTTGCATTTGTAATTGACCCCAGAAATTTTGTTGGGTTTAGATGAATTCAAATACCTAAATCTGTCAGATAGATAATGTATTGAACATGAGATTCTTATATCCTATCCAATTGAACAGGTGGTTGTTAGTGCTCCTACTTCAGGTTCTGTATCAGAAATAGATATGCAGATCACTAATACTAGTGGCACCTTAGTTCTTCACTGGGGTGGGATACAAAATGGAAAAGAGTAAGTACACTTGTAAATATAATGATTTGCTTTGATTCAAGTTTTGAGCTCTAGCATTAAAATGTTTTATGTTACTTTTGTCATTTTTTCACGCTATTAGAATTATGTATTTTTCAAATTGCAAAACTGCTGGAATGGGAAAAGCTAACAAAGAAAAAGCATCATCTGAATCTTACAGATTTTGGGGTGTTCTGGCTTGTCACTAGTCTGTCCAATAATGCATCTAAAAATCCTTATTTTTGTCTATTCATATTTGACCACAAAAAGCATGATCACTGACTTATTGATCTTGTAGCCTGTGGATTATGAGCCTCCATTCTTCAGAAACTGCACAGAACAAGAAGCTCATAGCCAATGGACTAAAAATCCTTTGAAAATTGAGAGGTTGGGAATGTCAACAACAAACATTTTGTATTAGCTCTCAAGGTAAAGATATAAGATTGCAGGAACAGTGAGACACTTGGATCCCTTGTTCAAATGTTGAGTTTTGTAATTGGAAATTATGCAGGTTAAGAGTATGCTTGATCCTTGTGAAGATGAAAATGATGACATTCAAGACGATGATGTGAGCTTGGGAGCTGATTTTGTACAAAGGGATGAGCATTCTGAATCTGTCAGTGAGGTACTGTGTTAACATTTCTTTATTGTTTGTTCTCCATGAGCTTCACTAACTGCTGAAAGCTTGATTTGCCATATAGAACAAGTGTTTAGTTAACTACTTGTCAATTTGTAACCCACTTTGTGTTAGCCATTCGCAAGATAACCAATACATAGTCGCGCCAATAGGTAATTACATGTCTTTGTGCTCAGCTGTTTCAGCTTGTTTACATATTAGGTGTTTCCAGTATTCTCTGAAGTTTGAAATGTGAATGACATTAGTTCTTTTGACAGATAAGCAGCAGAATTGTGATGATAATGGATGACATGGTTGATGAAGGTGATAACGACCCATGATGGGTTTCTTGATGCCAAAAGCAACCAGAGGCTAGGTATGTTCAGTCAAATTTTAAGCTCTATTTTAAAAAAAAATTTTAAATGCTTTTTAAAGCATACCAATTGTCAATGACTTTTCAGGCTAGGCCCACTATGTATCAAGTTGTAAAGGAGATGGTTGACAAGATGGGCTATGCAGTAAGTTTGGCATGATTAGCAATGCCTCTATCTTTTCATACCTTGATTTCTTTTTTGTAAGACCTCCATTTGATATAACTGTTTGTTTCTTATGCAGGTGAAGGTTGTTCGAGTCACCAAGAGGGTACATAAAGCATATTTTGCTCAGTTATACCTCACAAAGGCATATTCCTGTTACAAGCCTATATTTTGTTTAACTAATATTTTCCATAAAACTTGCTTTAATAGTAATATTTAACTGACAAAGTTATTTTTTTTAAATCTCAGTTGGGTAATGAAACGGAGAGTGTTAGCTTTGATCTTCGACCTTCAGATGCCATTAACATTGCAGTAATATGCAAGGTACTTTTGCTCATTTTGAAGATTGTTACTGCTTTGGTGGATTTTTGTGGTTGTTTATCGTCATGTAGTCCTCTTATCTAACATAGTGTAGACGTCCCCCGAACGCCCCGGGAGGGTGAGCATTTCAGCCCAACAGATCAAACACGGGTGTAGCTGAACGACTGTACTCTACTGCTGATCACTGTTCCCCAGAAATCACTGTCCCCAAAAACCGAACCTGATATCCACAGACGACTGATTCTCAACAACACTGATACTGGTGCCCTCGGGCCCAATACTCAAACTTGCAAACTGGTATGTGCTTTCCTGTAGAGATAAATTCTAAAGCACATAGCAAGTAAAGAGAGGCAAAACACCCCTATGTTGGGGTAGGGTTTCCCTGTCCTATTTTGTCAGGAACTAGGGTTTCACTATGCACGCAGCAGTTTTCAAACAACCTATAATCGGGTAAGCAACCTGTCCTAACTTGGAATGGTCACTACGGATCCGAATAGGCACTAGGTCGAATGGTCAAAAAGGGCGCCCCGGTAAAACCGGGGTTTGTGTTCCCATACTATCAGAGCCCATAACCGGTCAGCCTTATGGTCATGCCTTGACAAGACAAGCCTCTGGCAAACCGTTCAGGAATGGCAGATGGCAAACACAGTGTCCTAGGCGCACCAATGCACATGCAATGCAAAGAGACACATAAATGAAACCAAAACAGGATATCATGAGTTCGAGTCAAGCTCTCTAAAATCCCCAGCAGAGTCGCCAGAAACTGTAGACGTCCCCCGAACGCCCCGGGAGGGTGAGCTCTCGTTCTGTTCATTTGGGGTTACTACAGCTCGGACTCTTAATTTTGTCACGGTTCTTAATCTTGAACCAAAGAGTCCAAATCCGGCAAATCGTTTTGAGAAACAGATTTTGAAAAGAAGTGCCAAACATGGACTGCTTTGCCAGATACAGAGTCGCCACCTAAATTTTGTTTATGGGGGAATTTAGGAAACCCTGACTCGGTGCCGAAGGCCACATGTCCATCATCACTGGAGTTATCTCTGCTCGGGAGCTAGGGTACGATTGGGGAAGGTCAGCTATGAGCACCCCCTCTCGCCCGATCCGAAGATCGGCCTCTACTAACTGTGATATCCGATTTTAAAAACGTTATGTGTTCTTATTCCAGTTATTAGCCTAGAATTATTATGTTATGAGCGCAGCAAACAAGTATAGACTAGATTGTCTAATTTGGAAACAAGCATTGCATATCCGTTTGTTTTGAAAAGCGCTTTGGAGTTTGCTACTCGCAAGTAGGCTAAAACACGGATTTCAACGAGTTTTTCCAACTCAAACAATCCAACCTTCACCCACAGGCATCCAAACAATTATATCACGTAAGCATTTAGCCGCATGGCAGGCATACTGTCATGGCAACACTCGCACGCATGCGGTATGCTAAAGCATAAATACTTACATAGTACTCCGTGCTAAAAACAGGAACATGTTTGCAATCAATGCATGATCCAAGTCCATGTCAAGTGCCTAATGCATCGCATACAAAATGTTACTGGAATGGGCTCGGCTAACCTAAGCATGGCATGTGAAATGCAGTCAATTGATGCACGTATTCAATTCGGAATTTGAAGTACAAATGCAGTTAGCATGATGTACCGAGCCCGGTGCATGCAGGACAAATGAATGAATGCACGCATGCATTGCATGAGGTATGCTAAGTTAAACGTGCCCTAATCTACCATCATAAGCAGGTAAATAAAAGGGAAGAAAGAAGTGGGGGTTGGAAGACATTCACACACTCACCCACACTTATTACAGGTTTGCCCTCACTCGGAGGGACCGAATAAATATTACAAATTAATTAACTACGCAAGCTAATTAAATATTACAAATTGCCTAATTAGTTAACAAACTAATTTAAACTAGGAAAAGCAGTAAATCGCCTCGGGAAGAGAGCCAGATGCAGCGCATGCTCGGGTCCCGCTTGGAAGTGCATGGCCACGCATAGTCTACCTCTGTTTTCCCTACTCTGCCTCTCTGAAGACTACCAAAGTCTCAAGGATGCTTCTCTGGGTGCTGGGAATCACCACCGGCTGAGTAGAATTACCACCGGCAGCAAATTGTGGTCACCAGCACAAAATGAATCCATCGGCTGGTGATTTACTGCCGGTCGGCAATATGTACTGTCGGTCGGCAAAGAATGCCTGCAAAACCTGCAACTAACAGCAGCAGAGGACAGAACTTGCATGGCAATACAATTCAAGCAATGTATGCACCAATTATGTCCCCTATCATGTTTGTGACTCAAAGGGGCATGTGTCTCGATTTTCGGACCACCAATCACGCATTTCCATGCATGATGGCCCAAAGAATCAAGTGTGTAACTTTCATGTCAAATGAAATGCAAACCAAACAAACAAACCAAGGCCCAATTCCCATCACCAAGTCAAGGAACAAGGCATGCGTGCAAGATGCAATACAACCTAGGCATGCAAGCTAAGGATGCAACATGGCATGGCAAGACACTTATGCAAGCATACAAGCAAACATGAGGCAATGCAAACTGATGAAAAGGTGGACTTATACATGATTTAGGCAGCTCTAATAAGGCCCAAAACAGTGGCCAAAGTGACCAAAATAAAGGACCAAACACATACACACATGCACATGTTAAAGGGGCCAACACTTAGGCACAAAAGGGACAACTCTCAAATACATTTGAAAGAGGGTAATCATGGACATACGGCATGCAAGATAAGCATTGAAAATCATGTAAGGATGGTACCAAACCAAGCAAACAAAATAGACTAAGCATGCAATAAATGGTCTAAGTACTTGAAGCAAGTCAAAGGGGCTTGAACCATGACCAAGCCAACCAAGCCTCACAAGGCTAAGAGGACTTAGAATAGGTTCAAGGCAGACCTAGACCATGCAAAGGGGACCCCCTAGATGGCATCTAAGTGGCTCAAATTCAAAGGCATGTACGATGGCCAAAACATGGAACATGCTACACAAGCTTTCAAAGCATTAAGGAAACATCCAAGGCGAACATATAGGCATGCAAAGGGGACTGAAATGACATGGTGGATAGTTTCAAACCAATAAATCAATGCAAGAATGTCATGCTATACATCCATATACTTAAGGCCAACAAGCCAAAATGCAAAGGGGCTATATAATGCATGCCAAAGCCGACCCAAACAACCTAGGACAGACCTCTAGCATGGTAAAATATGCACAAAAGCTTACAAATCTAAGCCTAAAACATGCTTGAGCAAAGGCTAACAACCTAAGGCATGTTAAGGCAATAAAGTGGCATTACATGGTAGGTATGCTAAGCATGCATGGTGTACCAAAACCAACACACAACAAGGTTATATCATGGCATAATAAGCATGGAAAACAGCCAAGACATGATTAATACACACCCTAACATGATGCTCCCTCAAGAGGCCAAAAAGGGGACCTTTCAAGGACAACAAGGAGAGGGGGTGGCCCTCCCCTTTTGGACACTTCAAGGCACCATCTCCACCACTGAAATCCCTCAAGATTTCAGTAGTGAAGAGGCCGAAACACCAAAGTCTCGAAACTCACTCAAAATGGCTCAAAATGGGGCCTTTCAAGGCCTAAGAGGGGTCAAACACCCCCAAACCACAAAACACTCTTAATAAACAATCAAGAGGGCTAAAAAAAAGAACTTTTTTATGTTATACACCAAGAACAAAAAAAGCTCTAAGATAGGTAGAAAAGCAATGCAAAAATGGGGAATATAAAGGCAAGTTTCTTACCCTTGAAGATCCCTTCAACAATGGTGCTCCAACGGCTCCTTTTAGGTTGAAAACAGCTCCAAAACTTCAAAAGCAACCTCTTAGAACCTCAGTAGCTAAGTGAAGGTGAAATACTATGTGTTTGTGTTCAATAGTAAGACACAAACACACTTTAACACACACAAGAGGAAGATATAGAGATAGAATGTGTATGGATTCTAACCCTAGAACTCAAAACCCTAAAATGGCTGTCTAAAAATATCTAAAGTGTCTCAAGTGTCTAACCCTCAAGCCAAGAGAGAAGACTCTCTCTTATAGAGCCTTTTTGTCTTGTAAAGCTTGCAAGACAAGCTTCTAAAGAGAGAGATCCCTCCATACACGTGTATGGAGGGGAGCCAAATGCAAGACAGCTGTGATAAAATATCTGCAAAAGCAGATCCACAGTAGTTGGTGGGCCAAAGATGCCATTTTGGCAAAAATGAGTGCCGACCGGCAACAAAAAGTGCCGATAGCAGCAAAAACCAGCCGGTGACCTCTAGCCACTGCCGGTGGTGTGTGGGGATGCCTCACAAGGCATTCCCTGCCCCTCCATGGCAAAACACAAGTGTTTGGTGCAAAACCAGACACTAAATAGTCAAGTTCAGAGAGCCTGAGGCAAGGCGCGTAGCCGAGACCTCCGGGAACTCCAAACGAACACAAACATGGATGATCACCGAGTGTTCAAACGGTGACGTCCAAGTCTTGAGGACGGTCAAAAATGGGGTGTCTACAGTTGCCCCTCTTTGACAGAACTCGAAAGTCATAACAATGACGGGAGTGAATGTCAAAGCCCAGAGACGACCCATTTTTGACAAGGCCGAAGACCCAGACAAACATGCAAGACAAACAAGATATGTGCCCGAAGGCAGGGGCAAAATGCAAGACAATGCACAGAGCCGGACATAACTTATGATCATGCAATATATACAAAACAATGTATAAATAATGCAAATGAAGATGCAATGCATTTGAAACAATGCAAACTATATGCAAAGCAATTGAATCGTGATCCAATCGTGA